ATGTTGCGTTAAGTTTCACATCATTAGAACAAACAGTATACTACTACTGTCAATCGTTCATGATAAACAGTGTCACCTTCAGCCTTTTCTCTCTCTCTCTCTATATGGCATATCACGCAAATTAAACAAATTATTTTTCAATTGGAACAATTATCAGTTAATAATTTTTTCTTGTATCGTTCAGTCATTTGTCAGTTTATTGTATGTTTTATTATACTGGAAATAATTTGTGTTCGTGTTTTGAAATTATTAGTTTCAATATCAAAAAATTGTTTACAGTAGAATGAAAGAATACAATAGATAATCCTTTTGCGTGCTTGTTTTCTTCAAAGGTGTCATTCCATGTATCTAATTAGAAGAGACAAAACAAAAAAAAAAAAACGAACTATTTTTATTTCTAAATTTTATGAATATGTTAATTTTATTAAAAATAAAAATGTTCTCTTTATTGGAGAAGAGAAGAAAAATAAATGAACAATGTGTATAAGTACCAGAAATAAGACAGAAACAACGAAATACATACGATAAAGACAAAAAAGAGAGAAAGAGGGAGAGAGAGACAGAGAAAGAAAAGAGGCAATGTTCAATATTTCAACAACAACAAAAAAGAAAATAATGACTTTATAGCTAGATGTTGTGTAAATAGAATGAGATGAAGGTTGAGAAATAGGAAAGATAAAAAAAAACGAATAAATGATTGATATATATATATTATATGTATATACATTTATATAGACAAAGATATATTTTTAAAAATCTACAGTATTTATATATAAACGATAGGTAAATAATTTAGTCTTTTAATTTTAGTTTTTCTTACTTAATAAAATCTAAGCCGCTTTAAAAATAAAGTAGTTACGCTATTTTAAATGATTTTTTGATTAAATGATGATATTTTGTTTTTTTTGTAGGTTGATAATATTTTGGTGACAAACGTAAAAATTCTACAAATTTAAACATGAAAAGTTCTACAATTGGTTTATTGTTATTATTATTATTATGCACTTATTCGAGTGGATCTGTATTTCGGCAATTAGCTAAAGATAAGAGTGAAAAATTAGGTGAAAAAGCGGTCAATGGTAAGTAAAGTAGCTAAATAAAATTAGTTCACAATCATAAAACTCTTTTAGTTCATAATACTGAGTACATTTTGGGTTTAATTAATTAATGGTAAGTATTTAAAGATGTCTGTATCTGTCTGTTGTAGGAGAGAGAAGTAAAAAAAATTTGAGAAAGTTTTCATTCGATGGAAGTCGAATGTTGAATGTTAGTTATTTGCGTAGTGTAAAAATGAAAATTTTATAAAAATTTATGTATTTTATACATTGTTTTCTGACCTTCAAATATTGTTTACGTATGTATCATACATGTGTTATCATTTGTTCGTGTCAATGTGAACTAGTTGGATGTTGTATAGAACTAGAGAAACATTATTTGATTTTTTAGAAATACAATTGCTTGAGAACATATATATATATGATTTATCTATCAATGATGATAATAATCATTGCCATTTTATTTTGTTTTATTTAGGTGTACAGTAGTATAGTCGGTCAAGTGACTAGGCTCTTGTTTTTACTATAGGTTATGTCTCAAGAAATATCATTGACAGGATAGATAACAAACTTTTTGATCTTGCTTTATGGCTATGATCATCATCATCATCATTGATGAACCAATTATTATTTCTTGAACAATACTGTTAGACAGTATCTTGTATATCTCTCTCTCGATATGTGTATATAATTGGAAAATTGTAGCCAATTTCTATGTCGAATGATATGTAAATACTTCAATGACTAATAATAGAGATACTATACAGCCAATAAAGTGTTATATTCATATCACTATAGAATAAAGAAATTAGAGTGCAAATAATTCTTTAACCTAGTCTCGTTTAATTCTCGACAAAATTAGAAGTTCGAGACTATTCTTTAAAAGATAAATGTGTTTTGTTGTTACAGTACTATTCTCTTTGATTCAAAGAACATCTCTGTGATTAGGCAAGCATTATAATAGAAACTGAGACGTCCTCTAGTTGTTATAGACAGAATCTTTATTTGTTATGTTGACATTTGAAGCCTAGTAGTTACTTTATTAAGCGATAAATCAAGATCAAAAGTTAGAAATAGGTTCATGTTTTAATAAAAGAAGACAAAATTCTTAATCTTAGATTGTTTATAGTCTAAATTCCGAAGAACTGAAGGTGAAAAATGTATAATTATATATATTTTTTATTATTAGGTGTAAAAAGTATTAAAAAGAAATTTTCTTCTAAACAACAACAATCATCATCCATTGTACGTTTACATAATCAAACAATTTACAAATCCAGCACTTATGCTGAAGGTAAGAAACCTTAGATGCTTATGTCTGATATGGTTTATTAACAACCATAATCGTATTAGATTGATGAAAATTGATGAGACTATCAACATACACACTTTGTATGTCCGAAAACAGGTCATTTTTCTTTTATATGAGATCAAAAGTTTTTCTCTATGTATGTTGCGTTAAGTTTCACATCATTAGAACAAACAGTATACTACTACTGTCAATCGTTCATGATAAACAGTGTCACCTTCAGCCTTTTCTCTCTCTCTTTCGCTCTCTCGGTCTCTTTCTTTCCTTTTCTCATGAAACGAACACTTGTATATTCAAATAATTGACAATTGAATACAATTTAAAGGATAATCAACAATATGCTGAGTATTCATGCATGTATCGGTACCGATATATATAGATCGGATGACAATTTATACATTAAATATGAAACTAATTAGAAAAAGGCGTTATACAGATCAAATTGAAACGTGTACTTGTCACTTTTGAGCATGTTAATTGTTCTCAAACAAAAGTCGGTACTTTTTTAAACAAATCCTATTAATGTTAAACACACTATTCAACTAGCTACAAAATTAGCAGACAAAATCTCTGTATATATCTGTTGTTCATTCAGAATACTTTTGTCAGTTTATTTTGCTTTAGATTCTTTTCTTACATTTTAATAACATAACTTGTTCCATATCATATGTAGTATTTACCTCGTTAAAGATCTGTAGGAAAAAGATTGTTTGATGTATGTTAACCCTTTGATTACCAGTCTCGAATTTAGAACGCTTTTTTTTTTACGTTTTTTGATTTTCGAATAACTCGCGAACGCAAAAAGATATCCAGATGCGACGATGCGTTTTTGTCTGCTGATCTTAAATATGTTATTAATTTTGTTTACAAGTATATGGGAAGTGAAAAAGACATAAAATAAATGAATGGACTGGGGGTTAAAGTGAGTGTGAAGTCTTCTTGACAGTATTTTACATATGGATATTTTCTCCCTAAGTTTCATTATTGTATTTTTCCATGATTATGACAGACATTAACTGAAGAATGACCGACCCTTGCCTCCTTATATATGTTTCAATAGCGGATGCTCATTTTCAATGAATTTCCCAAACCATAAATAGTTAACCCTCATACTTTGTGTGAATAATCTAAAGATATTTTAGAGTAAAAGTGATCCTCTATCGTAAATGAACTGTATTTCAGTAACTATTAATAACTAACACTTCAAATTCATATCGTAGATAGAGGAGAATCAGGGCTACATTTGAAAAACAGAAAAAGTTTTTATCTCTCTTGGATAGGACAGGAATTATTAGCATTTTACGAAAAAGAAATGAAATGCTTATATCTCACGAATCATCCAGAAAAAGAGGTCTAAAATTGCTGGATGATCAGCATTCGATGAAAACAATGGGCACACAAATTTAGAAGCCCCAGCTATTATGACCGAGCAATGGTACTCAAAGGGTTAATGTTAAGTTTTTGAATGTCTAGTGAAGCAGAGTATAGAGATCAATTGTTCAATTATCTTACATATATAAATTTTGATATATAGTGAAGTTTTATTACTCTAAAATCTCGAAGAAATGCTCTGTAGTTTATCAATCTTTATCACTTTTTAGACTATTGCAAAGATTTCGGTCAATCATTGTTATTGTTTGCCTATCGTGGCTTCTGTTATTCTGTAACATCTGAACTCATACCATGGGCAAAAGCTGACAATTATTGTCAACAACATTTTCGTAATGTTTCAAATCGACAAGCATCATTATTAGTATTTGACGAAGATGACAGTGATAGTGAATTTCAATATATAAAACAGATATTTATGTCATACAATCAATCTGCAACAAAATTGAGTGCATCCATAGGATTTAGTTATAGAAATAGTAAGTTCATTATTATATACTTTCTTTATTAAAATCTAAGAATCATTTTTTGTGTCTTTTATAGATACGTGGTTATGGTTAGATGGTCGAAAAGTTGATTTTAGTGAAACACCACCATCGATTTATGCTGCAAAAAATTCAATATTTCCATATGAACAATTAATGTGTGGACTTATTGAATTTCTTCGTTTACCAAATGAAACAAAATTTGGTTTAATGCAACAAGAATGTTTAACACCGGAAAGAGTTTTTTGTAAATTAGGTAAAATGAAAAAGAAAAAGATTTTTTTTACCATCATTCTTTTTACACATTTATTGAACAAATTCACTCTTTTTTTTTGTTCTTCTAGAAGTTGATTATTGTTTTGAAAATGATAAATGTGGTTTAAATGGTGTATGCAGTAACGAAGATGGAGCGTTTCGTTGTGAATGCGCATTTTTATACGATGGAGCATATTGTGATCAATGTAAGTTAAAAAACAGTCATCTACATGTAACAAACAGATGGTCCATTGAGTTAGAAAAATACATGCACATATTCAATTCTTTGTTTAGATAGTTCCGAAGCAATTCAAGTAATTATTGCAAGTATACTTATTGGTTTGGCATGTATAGTTATAGCTGTTTGTAAGAAAATTCAAAATGGACAAAACAAGAGTCTACCCGTGGATCATTATGAACGAACGTAAGTTTTTAAACAAATTTCTTATGTATATCTCTGTTTTATTTCTTCTTCTTCTTATAGTGATACTACTGCTGCTCATGATCATCTATTAAATTTGGATCATAATAAATCATTAAATAAATTTAAACAAATTGGTTCACTTTGTTTTCAAAAATTTCCAGATTGGATTCATCATACACCATCAACATCATCATCATCATACGATAGTTGTTCAAAACCACCTCTACCACCACCAATTTTACGTGGTAATCATGAAAAACATCGTCGTTCTAATCGTCATCGAACAAAAACAAAAACATCCGATGGTTTACTAACATTTGTCCAATCATTTTTAACTGTCACTGTAGCTGGTGTTGCTATTGTTTATATTTGTGTTCGACGTACAAGTTCAATTTATGATTATGATTCACAAACTTCAAAACATCATCATAATGCTTCAATATCAAAATTAAAAGATTATATTGGATTAAAATCAACGAATGATGAAAATCGAACAGTAGCAATATCTAATAGTTTGAAAAAATCTTATCTTTGTCGATTAATTGGATCAAATTATGTGAATCAAAATGTATTCATGTTACCATTTTCAGCATTATTAACATTCATTTTATTTCTACTTTATCAGACAAGTCAACAATCATCATCTCCAGTCAAACATCATCATCGATATCGATGGTTTTTTCAACGTTTAAAATTTCCAATTATTTTAAATCCATTTCAAAAAAGTGATCGATTCCATACTGTTATTCTGTTTGGTGTTATATCAAATCAAATTATTAATTTATTAATTGAAGTACTACTCAAACCAAGTGCAGACGTACGAATGGGTAAGAACACAATATTAGTGAGAAAAAAATCTTTGTAATTTTTTTTTTTTTAAAAAATTTGTTTTCTTCTAGGTATTTTATTTGATTTAATTCGTCGTCTTGGCCTTGTTATACTGTGTGGTGCTCGTTATTTTCCTATCTTAATTGGTTTAAATGTTCATTGTTTAACATCAACATTTTTAACATCTCTTTTTATCACATTCGATTTAGCCTTGTCTGTTTACTGTGAAGCTCATTGTATTCAATCAGTGAGTGATCATTTAACATCAACTGTATCCATGATAAATTCATCATCTCGTATTCAATTGGATATTGCACGTATTCATTATGTATTAGCAAAATGTTTACCACATTATGTTGCATTAGCTCATATTATGGCACGATTTTATACACTGACACTCAAACATTTTCTCTATTTATGTAAAGGTAATGAACGATGGTCTCATAATTATTCAAAATCGACAATTAATACAAATACAACAAATACAATTTATAATACTATTTCAAAAGAATTTGATAATGATTGGTATTATACAAAATCGTTAATGAAACATGGTTCAACACCAAACTACTATTTGTATACATCTCAACCACAAACACATTCAAAAACATTTAAACAATTTCTTCATAAAATTTATAAACCACGACCTTATTTTCGTTATTCATTACTTGTTCTATTTACCTATACTGTATCATTTTTAGTTTTATATTATTTGACATGTTTACTCATATTTTCAAGTACATTTACACTACGTCTTTTGATGACTGTAACCGGAAATATTTTGATGAAATTGATTCAAATATCACCAATAACAATAAATATTAAAACAATCAAAGAAAAAATTAAAATAAACAAATAGAAAATACACATGACGATTTTCTAGAGAAAATAAATATTGTTGATGTTCTGAATGTGTGACTAAATCTGGAGTATAATAAATGGATGATTGTTGATGCTCTTGAACTGTTCTTGTTGTTGTTGTTTTTAATAAATGAAAAAAGAAATAACGTGTTAAACAATAGACAATAACATGTTTTAGAGCAAAGAGAATAAATAATGGTGCAATAAATTTAACAACAAAATTAATTAATAATGGATGAATGAATAATAAACGAAGAATTAGACAAATGATAAATACAATGTAATTTATTATCACAAAACCATATGCTAAATAGCCCACTTGATAACCACTATAATGAAAACTTTTAGCTAATACAGATGAGGAATTATCTATATGATACTGTCTATCATAGGCACCACGATAATATTTTAACATATGTGATTGATACTGTTTCAAACCTATAAGAAATAAAAATAAAATTTCGTTCAGAGATAAGTGTAAGAGACATAATACGGCTATTACACAACAAAATGTTCACAATATTGTATACTTTTTTAATCAAAGAACGATCGTAACTGTAAAACATTTAGGATTATAAAGTCATTTTTTCAAAATAAAGTTTTAAAAGAATGGTCCACCGTTTCTTCGTTATTTTTAACTGAAAGAATCCGATGGCATCTCATTTGATTCAGAAATGTTTACTCTACAATTCTAGATGTTGCATAGCTGGTTGAAAAACTATAAAAAAAACGAACAATATGTGAACATTTCGTTGTAGAATTTCATTTCGATAGCAAAGAGTTATGTGACTGTATCGATCAGACACACATATCATGAATGATTCTCAAGATTGAATTTGATCTTTGTGACGAGGAAAAAAGATCGATGATTTTGTCAAAGAATATGCCAATGAGTTATGACTTACGAGAGAACCTCTTCAGGTGTCCAACCCCGATTGCAGCCGATAGATACTGTATAGTGTCCTAGTAAAAAGGCCCAAAGGATTTGGACTCTTATTGCCACCTACGAAAGTTATTGAACTTTTTTGCGTTTTTTCTTCAAAGCCTTAAAAGACTCAATATTTTAGTTTCATAAAGTTTTCTTTCCTTTCGTATATATTCAAAATCTTTTCTTATACATAGTCTGATAGAAGAAAGTCTTCTCTTCAAAATGAGACGTCTCCCAGAATTTTCTCACGAGTTTTCGTGGAGATATAAACATCGCGGCAAATGCCCTGTGTACAAAATGCGTTTTTTTTTTCAGGGCATTTGCTGCGATGCT